CATTTATATTGTTCTTCTCTGAACAGCTTCCTGTTCATCTTAAATGATTGGTTTTCAACGAGCAGAACTTTTATGCCACGTTGAATGCTGTCAGTGGTTTGTCCACCACTTAGGGTAAGGAGAAATCCTACGGGAGATCGTTAATCGGTCGTCGCACGGTTCTTATTGGGCTTCCCCACAACTACTGCAGTGGCGAAAGGGAACAAACTCCCCTTTCTTCGCCCTGTTGGCACTCTCGTACTATGATCATTGTCCACTAAATGATGGAAAAAATTTTAGGAAGCTGCCAGCGATATTCATAGGGTGATTTCGAAGCAACTTCTAGCAAACTTACGTTGACAATTTATTTTTTTTTTGTTGCAAGCGAAGGTGTCTTTCTAACAAACTTTACTGATATCATCGTCTCAGTCTACCCACTGTCTGCTGTGAAGTCGCGGTCGCGTGGTATCTTTTAACAGATCTGGTATAAGCTGGTTTCTTTCTGCTGAAGTACGATTCCCATCAAATACCTGATGAAATGATAATTGCGGAAAGAAATTGTTTAAATATATTGATTGCTTTCTTTAATGGAGAAAAAGAAAATTCGTTTTCTGAAACTATTTTAAGAAACATGATCGAAACACTAGTGATTGGCATCGTCGGCATACTAACTACAGATCTCGACTGAGAAAGCAAAAAACGAGCAACTTCGGTCGATTACAAATGTGCTTAATGTCTAAACGTTTAATTGAGGTTGCCAGTTGCTCACAGGCTGCTCGTAAGTGAAGGTGGAGCCTAAAGCGGTTTTTGAAATCGAAGATGTAAGTTATCGAGGAAGTAACTGAAATAAAAACATTCGAATCAGTTGCCTAATACCATGGAGGCTTTGTCATCTATTGGTCGCGCAGTCACGCACGACCTTAGTTGTGAGTTGCAGTTCCGCTTCAGAATTTTCTCATCCATTGCGCTTTCAAAGTTCAGGTCAGTGAGGCGAAACTAGCGCGAGGCTTTAATGCCGGACTCGGATTATTAGACGTACATGGCGCTTTATTACGCACACAAAGACCAATTGCAATTAGCTGTCGAGACGGTGAACTTCCCCAACTACAATGGTCACTGCCGTCCGGTTGTGCGTTCGTTG